CACCACCACCACCACCACCACCGAAATGCTTTCACTGCTACTGATGCTTCTTCTTCTGCTTCTTACTCCTACTGCTACTATCAAACTAACAACCGTGAAAAAAAGTTCCACTGCTGCTTCAGTCGGCGATTTTTCCATTATTTGTCATACTTGCACCAGCCCGGCAGCCTTAGCCTTCATATGATGAGCATGCTTACACTTCCTTTTTGTTAGGTGTTCCACGGAAGCTCAATCCTCGGCCTTTGGCCGCCTCAAGCGTAACCCTAGCCCCATCTCCAGTCGTGTTCCCAGTTCCGGCGGCGTGTTCCCGCAATATTGCTTGCTTCCTTACCAGCAAGAGTGGCTGGAGGTCAACGTGAGGCGAGCCGCAAGACTTTGGTGTTCTCTCAGTTCACCATGTTCCTGGACATCATAGGAAGTGCGCTGGAGGACGGGTGGTCCAACTAGCCTGCTTGTGCACACACAGAGTCCCACTGCCATGATTGCAGACCCGGGACATTCGCTTCGTTCGGGTGGATGGCACCACCAAGATTAACGAGCGGCAGGCGACGGTTGACAGCTTCCAGAAGGAAGGCTCTGGAGTTGATGTTATCATCTCCTCGCTGAAGGCCGCGGGCCATTGTGGGCTAGGATTTCGGGAAATCTTCGTGGCTGGATTACACTTGGAATTGGGGCTGGAGCGAATCCGAAAGGCATCCTGTAGCGCCAGGGGCTATCAGTCGCAGCCAGCTGATTAGTTAGGTAGAACAGTTTTTGGGGTCCGACTTTCCCATTCCTGCCCTGAGGCTGGTGGTCAGGGTCTCAACCTTACGGCGGCGGACCGTGTAGTTCTGATGGACCTGTCCTGGAACCCGCAGGAGCCGTGGCTTGGGCTTCGCGACCTCTGATCACCGCACACCAGAGGCCCCGAAACAAGAATTGCGACAGGACAACCGTCAAGCAGAAGACCGAGCACACCGGCTGGGCCAGACGCGGCCAGTCACCGTGACCTACATGACGTGCAAAGCTGCTGGGCGACAATTCTGGGTGGCGTGTGTACGGCCGTGCGTACTGTGTAGGAAGTCAGTAGAAGCCTGCTGAGGGCACCGTCGAGGAGAAGGTCGTGAAGTGCAACATCTCGAAGATGAAGCTGGACTACGAGTTCGGTGGCCAGAGAAGCGCCCTCGAGGAGGCGGAAGCCCGACTGGACGAGGAAGGCCAAGGCCAAGGCCAAAGTGGCAGCTCGGAGAGCGAAGGCGAAGAGCTTGAGGAATCCAAGGGCAAGAGCTTCGAAGACGAAGTCTGCAACGAGTTTGCCCAAGAGCTGGGCCTTTAACTAGGGTCAACTAGGAACCGTGCCGTTGCAGGTTCGGCCCAAGATATCTTTCCTACCCTGAAGCAACTGCACACCCCCTGCTGTCAGCTCCCCCTTCAGGGCAGAACTTGAGTGGGGTAGACTCGAGATGCGACTGCCATAATGCCGAGCGCAGAGCAGACGCCTTGTGTCAAAGGCGACAGTCGGAGGTCTGGACTTCGTTTCTGTACAGCCCATGATGCTAGACGTCCGCCTGGTAGATCACTTGCTTTTCCGGGCTGGTCCCCAATTCTATGCGCGGTAGTCTCTTCGCGACGTATTTGTTGTGAGCAACAATAGGGGTGCGCCCAACTCATCGGCAGGACCAGGCTTTCTTGAGAGCACCATCTGTTTTTTGGTTGCCGTGGTCCTGCAAGTTAGAGTTGGTTCAGGCTAGCTTCTAGATGGGTGGATAAACCCAGCCGCGGCTGAGTTCTTGAAGCAAAAGGCTACGCCAGCTGTTTGCACACCTCCAGCATAGGTCAGGCAATGTTAGAGTCTGTTAGAGCCGGTGCATGTGCACTGTTAGCTTTCTGGGCCTGGTGACAGTTCCGGTTTTCCCGGCCTGTACCAAGCTTCGCTCAGGGCCTTTATTGTCAAGGTCGGGCGCAGCGCTTCTTGGCCTTGCTTGCGGACGTGCAGCGCCACCTCGCACGCCTGGATGCGCAGGCACTGACATGCAGGAAAAGATTTTTGATGTGTTTTGGTGTCAAGTTGAGGATTTTCGGACTTGCCTTGGCCGGTTGTTGGGTTTTGCAGATTGACCAGGTTGGACTGAAGGGCTTCAACAGATAGTGAGATAGTTGTAGCAAGCAGCAGCAGAAGCAGCGGCACGAGCATTAGCAAAGACGTCGCTTTCACTTCTGTTAGCCTTTAGCCTATATGCAAAGCAATTCAGAAGCCCCTGCATTCTTCGTCGATAGCCCTTACAAGGTTTCAGGCTGCTGCTCCGTCATCGACTTGCAGCCGAGCATGAGCTGGGTCCGAACTCCGCAGCTGGCTGACTCTGTAGATATCTTTGCGCCTCGCGAAGCCAATCCACCAAGCCGTCACAAACATAGATTAAGGCTTTGTTAAGGCTTCAGGACATGCGCCAGCCGCCTTTCCAAAGAACAATGCTCCCAAACCCGTATGTGAAGCTTGCAGCCGCAGTCCAAAATGTGCCATGTCCCTGCGCGGGGAGACGGGATGGCAAGCGACCCACGCGAAGGCTTTCGGCAAGGACCAACCTGCCTCGATTGCCTAGACAAAGACAGCATGCGCAGATCCAATGGTGCAAACCTCGGTCCGTCCCGGCTGGTTCAAGACTTGTTTTGATGGAAGGAGCGCTGGCCCCAGCTTCTTCGCGCACTGCGGCAGCCAGTCCATCATGTCGCGCTTGTGAACCCCTTCTTGCCGTCGCTCCAGCGTGAGGACCACTCTCACACACAGCTGCTTTCTCGTAACTTGGCCAGCGGCTTCGCCTGCCACACGAGCTGTCAAGGACGTGGCGCAGCTGCAGCGGCTGCAGCCGCATGAAGAGATACCTTGCGTCTTCGTCAATGCAGATGGCTCGTCCTGTTCCAATGATGCCGAAGCTGATCAGGACAGGCGAGGCAGTTGAGGCTTCGCGGGTGCCTTCCATGAATGTTAGAGATTAGCGCTGCGACCTGCAGGATGGTGACGGTCTGCTTGCGCCCAGGGCTTCGGTGGAAACTCCGGCTACCTCCGACCTCCTCCCATGTCTTTTGCCATGCGCATGCTGCACAACTTTTCCTCTTTCGTGTTCAATAGGGGTGAGAGTATTCTTTGGAGGAGCTGAGCCAACTGGGCATTCCCAACGACCACCTCAAGCGAAAGGGTTGTAAGCTCTCCATGTCTTGTTTTCGATCTTAAGCTCGCCCTGTTTGATGGGTGTTTCTGGTAGTGCTAAATGAAATGCTTTGGCGAGTGTCGGCCTTGAATATTTCGCCTTTCAGGGTGGGAACGCCTTTTTTGGGGTAGTTGCAACAGGTACAGTAAGGGTAGCGGTCACAGTACTGAGCAAGAGAAGTACTAGCTGCACCACTGGTGCAACACGAGCAAAAGTGATAGTGACGCAGATGTCAGAGCCACACAAAAAGTGCGAACAGCAGAAAAAGTTCATCATTGCTCTGTGCTTGTGTGGTCAGCCACGATATGAAGATCATGTTTTAATTGCCACGCCACCACCACCATCGCCATCACCATCATCATCATCATCATCATCGTCATCATCATCATCATCATCATGACCCTCATCCTCATCATCGTCATCGCCGTCGTCATCATCATCTTGATCATTATCACTATCAATATCTTTCAATCATCATCATGATCATCACCGTCATCACCATCTTCTTCTTCATCTTCTTTTCATCATCGTCTTCATCACACCGTCATCATCATGTTTGATTACCATAGCTATCCATAGCTGTCATTTTTGCTTCACCTCAACAAGACTAAGACAGACGCCGGAAGGTGGCAATTGTGCAACCAGCGCGAAGCAGAACACTTGTGTTGTCTTTCCCAGCAGCTCGTCATGACAAAGGGAAAATGATAGTTCTGTCGTTCTGTCGGAGAGAAAGGTTACTTCCTGGACGGGGCCTCGGCTTTGGCAGCAGCTTTGTTGGAGCCCGGGCCGGGAGCGTCGGTGCTGGACCTTTGCGCAGCTCCGGGGGGCAAGTCGCTGATGCTGGCGTCGCTGCTCTTTGCAGGCTGCTCAGGCTTTATTGGGTTTACTGGCGGAAAAATCTTTCGGGTATGAAGAGAAACTTATAGATAGACATTAAAGTAGTTCTGCAGACGTTGCATCGAATCCTGCATGCACAAGGTTTTTGCTCGTCCTGGATTTCAGCAGCGAGTCAAGTGTTCACCCGAACTTGCAAGCTCGAGTTGCAATCGGAAGATAAGGACCAGAGGCATCTGGGAGGCTGATATGCAACGAGATGTCGCGCCCCCGGCTAGCAAGGCTGCAAAAAGTGGTCTCCTCATTTCTGCCGCCCGAGATGCTGGCTACAGGCAGCAGCTTCATCTTGAAACACGGTGTGACCGTTTTCGGCTCTGGTTGTTGCAGATCTGTGCAGTCTGCTTTCTTGCAGGTGCTACGGGGCGTGTCAGCCTTGTCAATGTTGATGCTGCCACTGGATCCATCCCGGTGCCTTTGCAGCGCCTAGCTCCCTTCGATCGGGTGTTGGTAGACGCTCCCTGCACATCTGATGCTCAGCTGCACCGATCCGCGAAATTCTGCGTTCTTCTCCAGGCTTTCGTGGCCAATAGCAGTGGTCGTTCGTTGGAAGGTTTCTCTTGTCAGGATCGCCATCTGGTACATCAAGGACCGTCGGCTTTGGCACACTGGGCTGCTGGAGCTGTCAAGGCCAATGCGGAGCGACAGCTGGAGCCTTGCCCCTAAGACCGCTAAGAGGGTCCTGTGACGACTCCAGACAGGGTCTTGCAGGATTTTTTGTCGGGCAGGCTGTTGTCTCTCATGATTGGAGTGCGGTTCTTGTTGTTTCAGTCAGCTAGAATGCTGGTCAAATCAGGAGCTGTTGCGCGCAGCTGCTGCACTGGTGAAGCCTGGGGGCTTGGTATTGTACGTCACCTGTGCTTTGGCGGAAGCTGAGAATGATGGCCACAGCCTCAGTCTGGAACAGAAAGCCGACCAAGCTCAGTCTCAAGTCTCGGCCCAGGTGTTGTGTCGAAGTTCCTGAAGAAGTTCGGGCAAAACTTTGCGTTAGATGCCTTCCCTGATCAAGCTTCGCGGCTTCTGCAGGGTGCTGACGCGACCCAGTGTGGCGTCCAAGCCTTGGGATTACGGTACGTTCAAATCGACAAGCAGTCTAACTTGCCCTAAGTCAGTGTTGATGCATTGCGTCGTTGCCACGGCAAGGTCTTGATCCTTCCTGATCGGACGCCGTACGGTCCCATGTACATATCCCGCCTGCGCCGGCACTAGCTGAGTCGAAGTGCTGAGAAAAGTCTTTGGCCGGCTTGGAGGAGGCAAAACTGAGCAAAGCAGCAAGCAAAGTAAGAAGGAGTGCAAGCTGTTGCGCTTCTCGGAGGCGCTGACGGACCTCAGCTGGTCCTTGGCCGTGTCGACACCTCAAGCGAAAAGAAGATGTTGTATTTTACCAGGCTATCCCCGGTAGACAGTCTGAGACCACGCGAGGCTCAATCACCGCGATAACCGCCTCCTGGCTCGGGGCCTACAGCTGCACGAAAGGGGGTACAATGACACGTCCAGAGTAATTAGCCGTGGGGTCAGTTGTGGCTGTTGCATTAATGCTCTTCTTGCGCACCCAGGCAGGCATTTGTCATCAGCTCTTTTCGCAGATGGAAGAGTTCAGCCCAGCGAACCTCGCCATTAGTGCCTGGAGCGATTTCGTGAAGTCGTGCTGTCACAGGGTTGAGCTGGTTCCAGTGGCAATTTGGCAATGTCGGCAGTATCTTACATATTCTCCATTTGGAGGAGCTTTGCCACGCTGAACTATCGCGATGCAGCGGCCACAGTCTATAACAGAGCTCCCAAAAAGCACCCGCCTTGAGATCGAATCCGAGGATCTGGTGATGAAGCGCCTGAATCGGCAGGCCCTCGGACGGCTCCAGGCGCAGCCCCCCCACCCAGGGCCACCGGGTTTTGACATTGTTTGGATGCTCCAAGCAGCAGTTGCTTTGCAACTACCAAGGTGGGCTTGGTGGTACCGAAAGGGCTTTTGAAAGGTTTCGTTGAAGATTCGACGTGAGTGGGGGAAAGCCTAAAATTAGCTGGCAAGACTACTAGTGCGTGATGATGCTCTTGCGCAAACCGAGCTCTTTGCAAGACTCGCGTGCGACCGTATACTGGAAGCCGGGGCCTTCGGCAAGTTTTTTCCACAGCTGTACTCGGACGACCTCGAACGCTGTCTACAAAACTTGAGGGTCGCACATGATACCCACAGCCATTTTCACTTCCGCATCGCGAGATGCCGTGAGATGTTTGGCTAGAAGCCATGGAGGATCCGCCGGCATCGCAGGAGGGCGAGCAGGTGGAGGACGAGTCTCCACAGCTACAGCCAGACCCTGCGACCGAGGATGTCGACCGGGGTTCTGAGAAGCTTGACGCAGAGGAGCCCTCAGGAGAGCAAGAGGCGGACCCGAGCACGGAGGATCCGCCGTCAAACGAAACTCCTGACGAGGCCGCGAAGCCCAATGAGCTTCCAGAGCCTCTGCAGGCCTCGGATGACGAGTCTTCGAGTTCATCGCAGCCACCGGAGGCGAACGAACCGAAAGCTGCTCCGGCAAACGCTGCCGCTGGTGCCAATGCTGCCTCCGGGCTTTAATCGTGGTTGTTTTGCGGAGAGGATGTTGCCGTTTCAGCTCTCCAATTCCGATGCAGCCCAGGCACCAGATCGCGGACTCGCCATTCTGCAAAAATATGAGGAGTTCAAGGTGGGCGCCTGCAGCATCTCAAATGGGTTGGGTGCTGTGCTGGGCTTTGAACCCATCTGGCCAGGAGATGGGCCATGTGGAAGCTGCCGCAGCAGTGCTAAGGCAGCAAGCCTGCGGTAGTGCTCCTCTGCCAGTGCCTCACACTCTTTGGAGCCCAGCTTAGCCCCCTAAACCCTAAACCCCTAAACCCCTAAACCCCTAAACCCCTAAACCCCTAAACCCCTAAACCCCTAAACCCTAAACCCTAAACCCCTTCCCTCCCGACGACTCCCTGCGAGG